GTTTTTCCGTCACACAAATGAGAGTGAAGTTAAAAAAGTAACAAAATCATTAGAACCAAAAAAATCTCCAAGCTGGGATAATGTGCAAAAACTGTAAAAAAATCACACTTTTGGCAACATTTTTGAAACGGTAATTAAAGTGAGAATTATTAAATTTTTGGATAAAAACAATGTTCTGTGTTCGTTTCGCCTGGATTTTCGAAAGGGGCAATCAAACTGCTCTAGAGAATACTTTTTATAAAACTTCTGGATTCCTCCTGCGTCGGTTATTGTTGAGTCGAACTAGCTACACCAAACAAAATAAATACAAAAACCAACGCAGAAGGAATCCAGAAGTTTTATAAAAAGTATTACCTGTAGCCGTGGAAGTTTCTTTCAAAAAATGTGCTAGAGAAAATATATGATGGTATTGACTCAAGCAAACCGAACTTTCGACACTGTATCATATAAAATTCTGCTCTATAAGCTAAACCAATGTGGTTTGAGGGCACAAGTGCATGATCTTTTAAAGAGCTACTTGTCTGATAGAGAACAATACCTGGACATTGACGCGACTATCAGTGTAGAGTCCCACAGGGTACCGTGCTCAGTCCACTACTGTTCACCATAAATATAAATGATCTACTATGTTTAATCACAGATGGTAAAATACATGCTCTGTTGACAACACTGTGATTTTTTATGACGAAGGTAATTGGCAGAAGTTAAAAATAGATGTAGAGAAAGACTTTAAATCTATAAAGCCATGGTTTCAGCACCATTTCAAAAACATGGATGATTTCTTAAAGACCAAGTTCAAATAATAGGTTATACTTTTACAAGAGTAGATAGTGTCACAAGAGGTGGTGAAGTAGGCACTAGTTCAAGTTCTCCACAAACGGTGTATTTGGAATAGGATCACTTTATCAACCATCAAAAGGACAGTTTTTTAATTTTTAGATAATTTTGAGGACTCTTTGTCGACATTCTTAATGTTATTTGCGAAGGTGACTTCAATTTAAATTTAATAGATAGCGTTCAGGATTTTCTTCCTTGCATTGATGCGTTTAACTTGCAACAAATGGTTAATACTCCAACTGTAACACCTAAAGAAGAAAACTATACTTTTTCAATGAACAATGTTCCCCAAATTTCAGATTATGTATTTATTTATTTCTACATACTGAAATAATTAGTGACAATGAAAAATATGTTTTAATGCGACACTTATTGTCGGACATTAATCAAAAAGTATCTTATTTTAATAATCTAATCAGGAGTGTCTTTGGCGTTTTGGCTCCTTTAAAGACTTTAAAAATAAATATTCAAAGACCATCATGGTTAACAGCTACTCAACCAAACTAACAACGCAATGAAAAAACTTATAACACAGATGTTCACAGTTTAAACCTTAGATTTAAGGGTGTTATCTCTCCACAACCGCACAGGACGTCTCTCTTTCAACGGTTTTCCTACAATATACAATACATTACACAATACAATGCAGTTCCTCTTTCTTTAAAAGTCCTATCAGGGTTACCTTATAAAAGGAAATTAGAACAATGCCGGTGATTTTCGAATTTAGTTTCGAGATTTTCTAGCCCATTTTTGTTTTTTGTTTTTTATATTATATACTCTAGTATTTTACCATAAGTGTGTGTTAGTCAATCGAATTAATAGTTAGTAGTTGTTATGTATCATTTTAAAGGGGTTGAACAATTTTTAATTGCTTTCATCTCCTTTTCTTCAATTTATCTATTTGTACAACAGAATAAATGTATAATTATTGTTATTATTATTATTATTATTAACTTACATTAAACTGCAACAAAAGAAAATATATGCCTTTCACTTCATATACAAGTTCTCTTCCTAACCTAGGCAGTTACAGTTAAAAAACACAGACGAATCTCCAGAGACTGACTCGATAAAGTATTTGGGAATTATGCTGGACAGGCATATGAAATGGGACTTGCTTATAAAATCTCAATCTTAGAGACTTTCTAGATATGACGCATTTGCAAAAGCTTATCAGTTATTAGTACAGTCACAGTGTTGCACTACCACATCTCAAAAAATTGATCAGCTTGCAGGCTTTGTTTATAAAAATCATGTATAACAAAATTAACACTTATGCAACTGAACAACTTTATACGGAAACTAAGTTGTTGGATATACGAAAACTATACTGGCAGGCTGTCTTGAATAATATTCACAAAGGCAAAATAGATATAGAACCCATAACACATTGTAAAAATAATTCAGTTTTTCCCGTGTGTACGCAAACAAAAGTACAATATTTTTATAATTATTATGACTTTATAATCAATAACCAGAACAAATCAGATGTATCGCAAAGTTCCATAGATACAAATGTTTTGTGTAGGAGTATAGTCTGTATGTCACGTGTTTATATTTAAAAAAAAAATATATTACTTATATTATAAAAAGTAAATGAAATAAAACAAATATGAACGCGAAAGTCTACCACTAATTTGCTTCTGGGGTTGATTTGGTCTATTTTTTTAAGTTGAATATTACATTTTTTATGAGATTTGTTAGCATTATAAGGAGTTATTTAAATGTTTGTAATGTACTTAAACATGGGCAAATTCAAGATTTACTTGAATAACCTCAGGTATCGATGTAACTAACCAAAATAATGATAATTTGTACTATACACTAAAGGGGAACAAAGGAAAAAGGATAATTGCAAACACTTAAGGTAAAAATTCAAGATATCTGGCAGTATTATGAGTGCGATCAATTAGTCGCGGTAAATTTATAAAAAAATAAATATTGACCAAAACATTGCATCAAACACGTACTGAGTAATTCCGAATATAACAAAATATTCATCGAACATAAAACAGTCTACAATATTAATTGTTTGAAGTGACATGACCGAAATGAATTTTTTTGTCTACAAACTAGGCAAAGCTCCCGTTCAGTTTCATCAAAGATGTTCCGAGGACCACATCTAGGTTAGGTCTATAAAAAAACTTTTTCCAGTGCCTTTTACGATTTTTTCGACAACGTTTTGGAGAATTTCTTTTTTGTGGCTCTTTTTCTCGGATTATCTTCCAATAACTGTGTAGATGTGAGGTCGCCAATTGCGATCTTTAGAACTACGGGGTACAGGGACAGTAGAAATAAGTGCAGGTGTCACAAGCCACATCGTTAACTATGGTGGCATCATCGATTTGTTTTTCAGTCAATGTTTGTGTCTCTTCAGTTATTTGAAATGAAATACACTGGGATCAAAGAAAAGATTCCAGCCTTTTCCAAACCCCTCATAGCTTTCTCTGCAATGCACATTCGGGTTTAAACTTTGGTGAATATGCCGTTAAAATCAATGATTATAACTTTTTCGAAATAATAATAATAATCTTTCAGAAATAACTCACCCTCATTATCGTACGCTTTGATGAAAACAATGTGAGATCTAATGGTTGTATACGATATGACCTGTGCGGAGATAACTTATTCCATTCTCCTTGCAAAAATCATAAGCAAAGTTGAGTGGTTGTCCAAGATTAATAAAAGAAAATTATCTTTTTGGGCATTGTTAAAATTTCTAAAGCGTTTTAACCAAATAAAGAATACCTCTTCTGTTGCTGCTAAAATTTGTTTCAGTGTTTCGGGTCAACTATCTTTGTCTCTAGCCGAACTGAACAGTAGAAGTAATGTTGCTTACTTCCTGTTGAACCAAAATAAAACGCAAAATGTCTTAGTTTCCTCAACTGTTAATATTACGATGGGCACAATCTCTTAATACTCAAGTAATCAGAAGTGTGTATCTGTATCTGCTTATATATGGTTTGAGGGACATAAACACTTGGCGGATGGTTTTCATATTGGTGACCTGACTCGCAGTTAATATTGGTTGTTTTTGGATTTCTATAGACTCTCGGATTTTTCGTTGGTGGAAGAATTGACTACATGCAAAAATTCCGGTTTCGCGATTGTGTTCGGCAACTGCTGTTTTATTTGTTTATTTGGCGCAGTTTTAAGGCTCTTTCATGTTTTTTGAGCACCGAACCCAGAATTAAAACCTTACATCTACTCTTCTCTTTAATAATTTCCACATAAAAGATATTAACCATTCCATCACAAAATACACTTCACGACAACCTTCCAAAAGCAATGAGTCCGAAAGCAACTCATTTGCCACTGTTATCCTTCCTTACATTTAAAACTTCACTAACAACATATCGAAAGTTCTTAAAAATATAGCGTCAAAACCAGATTGTCCAAAAACCGCTCAACACATTTCGATCCGCCAAAGACAAAATTCCGAAACGGGGTATCAAAATTTATTCCATAAAACTAAAACTCTTGCATGTAATTAATTATTCTACTAATCGATAAGCAACCAAACAATATTATCGGGGACTCAGGTCTTTACATCACCAATATGGGAAACAGTCATCCGAGACGATGTTTATACCACTCATTTAGCTCCGCCCCCTTCGAACAATATGGTTCAGAGTAGAGTGCGAACCAGTTTCAGTTTAGCTCTGAAGAAGACAACAGAGTGATTGGCGAAACGTCAGCAAGTTGGACTCAACAACAACCGAAGCAGGAGGAATCCAAAAGTTTTGTAAATAGTATTACAGTAGCCCGTGGAAGTTTCTGAGAGAGTTTTTCAGAAGAGAATTTCTATATAAAACCAAAGCTATTGACACATTCCGTTAATGATAATTTTGTTATTTGACCTCAAGATCAAGGATCCCTCCGATATATTCTAAACCATTTAATGTTATAATATGAAACTAATAATAATCTCCCATTCTTAGATATTTATATCAATAAACCTATTGAAAAATAATTCAGTTTACACCATGCATTGTCACAACTCTAAAAATGCTTCAATAGTAACCCTGTATATATAACATTTCTGTTTAATTCACCATTCGTTTCATAAAAAAAGTAGCCTTGGATACCCGCAACAGGCAGGCATTAATATGGGAATTGCGCCGTAAAACGATCAAAATTGGAACACACAAAATATGCAATTCAAGGGCGAAGCGCATAAAATTCAGTTCGAAGTGTTTGTTTATCTGCTTCGGGTTTATGTGTTTAATACCAAAAAATGGTAAACGCGGAATATGCAAATCCGTAGGTAAGTATCCAGATAGCGGATGTATGCAAAACTTGAAGAGAAACATTTGTATGAACAAATTGGTAATGCTCGAACGGGATATTGTGGTAAATTCGGACCCTGTGCGTACGTGACTATGACTGATCCCGAATGGAATGTAAACTCAAATATTTTTTGCATCGATTGATTAGTCTGCCCTTCGTCCAGAAAGCTTAGCAGAATTTATGAGTGCTCATGTCCGCACTTATGATGATGAAGTTTACTTTATTTTCCAAGACGAGACTTGCACGAGTAAAACACAACAAATTAAAAAGAGAAATAGAGAGAAATGTAAACAAACTATTGCATAACAGTTAGAACAAAAAATATACCGGGTGCCCCTGTAAGAAAACTGGTGTTATCTTAAATTTTTTTTAAATTTTTATTTGTAATTTTAACCATGGTTAAAATGAGTACTGGTTTAAACCAGAGACAAATTCTTTTTTTTGTTTGATGTTGTTTGCTCAAACTGTGCACGCAAATATTTATATTTAAAAAAATGTTTAACGTATTTTAATAAATTTGGAGTAGTTGGCAAGGGTTTGTCATTCTTGCTATGTGTGATGACTTTGCCCCCAAGTGGCGATTTCTGACATCTTCGCAAAAAAAACAATTTTTTGAAAAAATAAGAAATGTAAAGATATGACTTTTTTATGTCTTGATAATCATATAAATACAAAACAACACCTCAATATCTTTATCCTACCCTAAAATATGAATAAAAGAAATTAACGTTAAAAAAATTGATTTTGTTGTTTATATTATGTGCGACGGCAAATGGTGTTAAATTAGTTACTTAGTAAATTAAGAAAATATCTTAAACAGGATTTATGATAATGTTTATTTTATTTTTATTCCCTAAACGTAATAATGAATATTTGCTAGGGTTTAGCTTAAGTTTATGGCTTTTGCAGAGTTCACTCGTGATTTATGTTTTGTTCTGCCTTTAAAACAATAATAAATTTGTGCATCTTCTGTAAAGGCTTGAATTTTAAATAAAGTTAATGATTTTAGAATGCCCGAAGAATACAGAAGAACTAATAGAGGATCTAAAATGAATCCCTGTGGGAGTATTTGCCCTGATCCGAAAATTTATCACTTAAGGATATTATTTGATGTTGATACCAGAGTAAAAGATTTCTCGGAAAATGCATAACATCCATATGCACGAAAAATATGATCCAATTGTCTAAAATATTATCCAATATTATGCAATGCTACTTGTGTCTCAGACATAAAGAAATCGTACATTTGATTATATAATATTCTTTCTTAAATTTTTGAAATTTCCAGAAGAGCAGACCAGTTGCATTTGTTATAATTCCATTAAGGGCCTTATTGACTTGAAAGAAAATTCCAAATTATTATTATAAATATTGGGGTCATAAAAAGTGATTTTTTTCATTGCAAACGTTCTGAAAAAATGTACCAAAATAGTTATTTAAATTATTAGTATTAGATACCCTCTTGGCATAGTCTGATGTTTTTGCCATGTGCAATGTTAAGACTACTGCCGTCGAACTTTTTTTAGTGATTTGATTTTATTTTATTTAAAATTTCAATAAAATTAGGCATCAACTGATCAAATAGAGTTGATTGGCCCAGAATACGTGAATTTACCGGTTATAATGTAGTCCGTTTCGCTAATTATAGCCACTAATTAAACCTCAATAAGAGCATAAAACTTAACATAAAATTAGTGCGCCATCTACTCTTTTGAACCAAGAATTTTAGTCGCAATAAATTTCTCAAAACCGTTTACTAATATTGAAAAAAAGACTGAATTTTTGGACAATAAGTCAGAAGTTCTGATTTAAATCAGAAATTCTGATTTCTGACACAAATTCTGACTTACTCCTCAAAAATTTTCCAAAATTAAATTGAGTTTAAATGAACCATTATTAATGCAACAAACATTAGACAAACTTAAGCACACTTCTCAGAAGATGTTTTATTCAGTTTTTAAATGGCTTCGCACACTGCTTGAATATGTCAATTAAATTCGATACACCAATAACAACCCATAAAATGGGGAAAATTTTCCAAAATCCAACGTTTTTTGAGCGTAAACTTCTTTTATTCATAATTTAGGTTGCAATTCGGTTTTCACTGAGTCATAGCACTTTTTAAGTTTATGAAAAAGCATTAAGCCTTTTTGGAGATGTGACATTTACTTAGGAAAATGTTCGAACGTCTCCCCCCAATTTAGTTACAGAGAGAGTGAGAGAGAGAGAGAGAGCTAGAGCAAACAGCTTTAAAAAAATCTTTTGAATTTGTCTCACCCTTTATTCATCGTTAATATTAGAAATTTTTGTAGAAAATGTAGAATTTCAGAAACTCGAAAATAATTTCCAGCATTTTTTCTTTTTTTTTTCTATTTCTATTTCCCTCGGTTAATAACTAATTACCTATAAAAATATGATAACATAAGCTATTTTAACCCTATCAGGAACATATTTTTGAAATCGACAATCCAGGCTTTTACACAAACCGAAAAACTGCAAACACGAAATATTAAATGTCGCAGTTCAAATGAAATTTCGAAATCCATTTATTAAAATTTAGACGTTTGAAGGTAAATGTCGAATATTAAAACACAATTAAACACGTATACATATCTACATTGAATACATTAAAAAATATTATACTAAACTATCACAGTAAAACACATTTAGACAATAAAAGGCATGACGCACACATCTCCACATAATGTTGGAATGGGTATAAAGTATTTTAAAACTGTAATTTCTTTAATGAGAATCATAATAAACACCAAAAAATTTACCTACACTACCCTGACGAAAAGGCCTTTACTTAAATTTTGACAAGAAAACACTAGCATTCTTCTTATACCGGCAGTTAGCTTGTAAATGCTAGAAAAAAGTGAGAAAAGATCATTAATAAATGCAATGAAAAAAAATGTCTAAGAAGCTGCATTGAGAACCCCTATATAAAACTGCTCACCATCCCTGACATTAAAGAAAACTAAAGAAACTTGTACTGGCTACTGCATTACCATTTACAAATCTTTTGGATTCCTCCTGAGCCGATTGATGTTTCGCCAATGCCAATCATCCTGTTGCTTTCTTCAGAGCTTTACTTAAACTGACTCGTATTTTACTCTGTGTCGGCCTATAGAGGGTGTTTTCTAGTTGAATGTTAATAGGTCCATTTTAAGAAGAACACTTCATATGAACATATATCCTAAACGTCTTAATTTTTCTGATACAAGGTGGTAAAGTTTAATGAAATTTGGCACACATGTATTATGTATCAAGAAGCATTATTTAGTTTACCACAATTTTTTAAAATACACCAGTGGCGGGCGTCCGGAATTTCCCTTGTCTATTTTGGCAGACACACGCCACGGATCTCTCTTAAAATAAAAATTATTACAATCTTCAATCATTTCTAAAAAAAATAATTTAATGATTTTTTTAATCTGTTTGAAAAAAAAAATGAAATCATCTTTTCTGCATGGTCATAACAATATCGCTAATATTACAGCATGCAGAGAATTATTATCATTATCATTTCTCTCTTGAGTAATTGTCTATGTGTTTTATTAAAATACTTCAAAAAATCGAAGTACCAATACGAAGTACATAAACTCTGGGGTGCATTTATGAAATCTTCATAATTATTTCTTATCAGTCTGTGTCTGTAAGAATTATTAATTCTGTTGTCAATGCGGCTGTTTGACATAAGTTTTTTGAAATTCAGTTCTTCGTGTCTTATTAATTTGGTGTTTAAAATATCCAAGCATTGTTATTTTAAAAAAAGAATGGTCGAGTTTACTAATGAGGAGTTGGCAGATATGCACTTTATGTATGGTTTGGCTGATGGCAGTGCGCCGGAAACTAAGCGATTATATCAAGAGCGCTCTCCTAATAGAGTCATACCAAATAGGCGAATTTAAAAGGGACCCATCGGACTGTAAGAACTCCAGAAACTGAAGAAGCGGTTTTAAATTCTAATGATGAAAATCCTGAACTTAGTACTAGAAAAATTGTAAATAATCTGAATATCTCGCACTTCTTCGTTTGGAGAATTTTTCACGATTTCCTATTGCACCCATATCATGTTCAACGAGTCCAAGCGGACAAAATTTCGCATTATCCCTTGATTGACCAAGAAATATTATTTATCAAAGAAAGTAACTCATCGAGAAATGCAATAAGAAATTTCCACAATTACCATATTTGGGCGGATGAAAACCCTCACGCAGTTGTAGAATTTAAACATCAAGAGCAGTTTTCGGTAAACGTTTGGGCTGGACTTGTTCAAAATTACTTTAGTGTGCCCATTTTTCTAGCAGAAAGGCTAAATGGACATAATTATAGCCGGTTTTTCGAAAAAAAAATTACAATATTGCTTGAAGAACTGCCATATTTAATTAGGAACAGAATGTGGTTCATGCATGACCGCGCGCCTGCTCACTTTAATGTTGCAGTAAGAGAATATTTAGATCATACCTTTAGTAAGCGGTAATTCGCGACGGACGTCAACCATGGCCCCCTGGGTCCCTAGATTTAAATAGTTTGGATTTTTTCTTATCAGGGCATCTTAAAAGTTTAATTTATCGCACCCCAGTTAACACTGTAGAAGAGCTGAAGGATCGTATCAGAGCTTCCTGCGATTTAATAATACACGCTGAAGGTATACTTCAAAGAGTGCTCGGCAATATGCGGAAAAGACCTGAAGCCTGTATCCTTCAAGGTGGAGGACACATTCAACAACTTATCTAGTCTCTATGTTCAACTTTTTCTCAAAAATGTTGTTATTAATTTATTAACAATTTTGTTAAAAATGATTAATAGTAGCTCGTGTTTTTTTGTTAAATAAGAATCGTTTATTATTTATCTTGTTAGGATGTTATGTTATTTCATTAAAACTGTTGGTAACTAAAAAGTAGATATTTTGTTTAGATATTTTATTTTTTACAAAAAATGTTCTCGATTTGTGGAACTAACCAAAAAATA